CAACTCATTCCCTATGCTGAGTGTTCAGTCTTGAAGTTCCCTGCTTGTAAACAGGAGATGACAAGGCAAAAATTACTTTTCTACTGGGACTAACTCTTCTCTCTTTCATTCTTTTTTTGGGAGGGAACTGAGTCCTGCAAGCATTCTGTATTGTGTTTTTTATCACTTACTGTTTTGAGGGGAGCTGGGAAGAAATACTGGGATACCTAACACAAGGGCTTTATACACACACACAGGCACACACACAAACATTACATATATAGCTTGTGACTGTACCCTGCTCAGAGCTCTATTTTGACGCTGTACATTGTCAGCTTGTGGGTGCACAGGACACTTTCATCCTGGACCTAAATGGGGAGAAGGAAAGCTCTGCCACCTGTGGTCTCTTTGCTCCCAGTGGAGAGAACAGGGTAAGGACAATACAGCTCATGTGTTTCTTCCCTGATAAATGTAAGCTCATGAAAGACAAAAACGATATATTTTTTAAATTGTGCTATCTGTTTAAAAAGATACTCCCAATGGGATGAAGCGATTAAAAAAACACAGATCACAGACTCAGTGCTAGGGTCCAGCAGGGGCTGTGATCTTCATGAGGCTTGGACTACTGGGGGTTTCCCCAGGGCAGGGAGAGCAGGGTCTCACCAGCTGGCACCTTCAGTGGTGGGATGCACCCTAGGACCAAGGCATCACAGGCCATGGGTCAAGGTTGGGTCAGTGGGTCCCATGGACTCTTACAAGGGGTTTGTAATATGTGAATATTTCATTTGTTTCAGAGGAACTGATGTTAAACTTTTTCATCATTATCTTGCACGCTTGTGGGGTGATGCAAGAAATAGCAATAAAAAGCTACTCACCTGGGCATGAGTGTTCTTCCTTGAAGAGGCAGTTATATTGGAATAAGAGCTGACAGATGAGTTGGTATTCAAATCATCTGTGCTGAGGTTGTCAAGAGTGTCACTGAGGCCACTACTAACCGAGCTGCTGTCATCCCAGCTGCAGAGAAAGGAGCACATCTACTTTACATACTGTGTGTGAAGAGGCAGAAATAATCTCAAAGCAATTGATGCGATTACCTACTCTTCAAGAGGTTTACCTGAAAATTTTTAGTAATATTTCATAATGTACAAAGAATATTAGTTTTCAGACTTTTTAATTAATGATTTACTCACTATCAAGTGGTTGCTTGCTCAATTAATTAAAGAGTCAGATGCCTTTTAAAATATTAACATCGGGTCTAAGCAAGCACTAGTATAAGTCATTAAACCAGATTGTTTCATGCTTCGTTGCAATCACATACAGTACACTGGCAGAGAAATCCATTAAACCTACCTGGTATTGCTAGCCAAAGCATTATTAATAGCTTGGAGAACATCTAATGTATTTCCAGCCTACAGAAAAATAAAAGGAGTATCTCCTCTGCAGCCTGATCAACTGTCTGCAGAAAGCCAGTATTTAAAAAAAAATTATTTTCTTTCACCAGCATTTGTCTGGTGCAGTGTCATCAAAATAGGATTCCCTGACAATACAGTCACCTGAGTGGACAGAGAACACATTAAACATCTCTCAAGAAACACAGGCTGTCAGCTCTTCTGCTTTGGGAGATTGAGACAGAGCATGCAAATGAGAGAAAGGCCACTCTCACAGAAATGCCATTTACCTACACTCAAAAAAACGTTGTTTTTGCATGGAAGGGAGATTGATTTGTGTTTCTCAGACCTTTTTCAACACAACTGCTTCTCTGTGGTGCTACATTATGACTCTTAGCTTATTGCCATATACAGCAGTATACTCCCAGTTTTGCTATATCTCCACCTGTTCATCTTGTTTTGGATTAATTCTAGGCCACAGAGTTTGAAAAAATATTCACCTTAGTATTTGTAGTGGGATTCATCTTCTATACTTTTAGCTATATAAAATTTAGGTATCTCATTAAAGCTACCTATCTAGATGACCTTTCTAATCAGTACTAAGCAAGGTCCTTTAAGGGCAATTCACCCAGGCTCAATATGTGTCAGGTTTGTGGGATAAACTGGTCACTGAAGGTGCCTCTTTATGTCTTTCCCACTCCTAGAGAAGAAAGGTTTGATAGCTGTGTGTTCTAGACACAAAAATTCTGCAGTGACAAAGCTAGATTACATGTTTATGCAGGCTCATGAAGCTCAAAACACAAGAAAGAGCACATAACTTTTTTTTTTTTTTTTTTTGCAATAGCCTACATCATGAGCCACCTTTTACAATAAATCTAAAATTCAGTCCAGCAGTTGAGTTAAAGCTGAATACTATTTCTAATAGTCATCCAGAGCAAACAAGAAAAATGTCTATGAATTCTTATTTTATAGGCTGTGTTTTGGGAGTTTAAATTCACTTGTCCACTTGTTCATGGAAGGCTTTAGAAAGTCATAACAGCAGCAACAGTGAAGTGCACAGTACAAAATGTGTGCTGATGCACCAAAGTTCAGTGCACTAGTCTTGTATCATAGCAACTGCAGCCAAGCATTACCTTCATTTTGCAAAAGGTAGAAAATCACATTAGCAAACCAGCTCAGTGACAAGATAAATGTATTTCAGAGGGCAACAATTTATTACAATGCTGCACTTCCCACTGTTAAGTACAATGACCATAAATACATACGTCTTCTGCAACACTTCCAGGTAATACACACATGAGTGATTTAATAATACTATTGAATACCTAAGCAATTATAATATATCTTATAGGCTGCCCACATTCATCTAAGAACCACTTCTGAAGCACTAGTCATTTGTACTTTCTGTATTTTTCACTGTCTAATGTGACACAGAATTTCAATGTTGCTAAAAGTCAGTATTCAAATGCTGTGTGCCACATGGCAATATACCTTGTATAACAGTGCTAAGATTGATAAAAACATTTATAATATTAAATATGATTAGGTTTTAGAAAATATAATATGCCCTCTTTGCCCTTTTTAAAAGGTATCTTTAAAAGATACCTTAAAAGGACAAAAAATCATAAGACATCTTAAATGAGATATACTTGGTACTTTCACAAGCAACATAACTTTTAATGTATGACATTCACGTCAGTTTATACCTGACCATCAATTTCCTAAGTCTACTCTAAGACCCTGGGGAAAAGATCAACATTTAATTCTGTTTCACCATGCTTGTTTGTTATTTTATGCTATTTTATGTTTTTGATTCTTCATTTAATTTTTCTCTGTAAGAAGATTCACAGTTTCTAAATTCTGAAATAGTTCAGCTGATTCATGAAATATGTACATGATCTCTACAATTGAAGTTTTCAGGCAAGAAGTACTACAATCACATTTCCCTTTCTATTACAGCTTCTCTGTGGTTTTTCATATTTATCACACTTCACTCACCAGTGGATTACTAGAAGGTTCTGGGAATGCTCATGGCCATCTTGTAAGATATATATATATAAGATTATTTTGACACCTTCACTACTGACCTTTCAGAACCATCACTATATCTATCTGGTCTTTTTTCCACTTATGACAGGTGCTCAGGATGTCTTCTAAGCTTATGGGCTTTCATACCTCAAAACTTCTTCTAATATTCAGTATGCCTGTAAACCACAGAAATATCCAAATCCTTTTTATTTTCTCTATGACATTTTTCAAAGGACTATTAGGATTCCTACTTGGCACAATGTTTGGTACCAACCTTTTAAAAAAAAAACATAGTAAAAATGGAAAATTCTAACAAAATAGACCACATCAGTCACCCTTTTGGCAATTCTGTTGTTCTGTGCTTATTTTAGTGCATTGTCCAGAGTTGTTTTAACTTGTTTATGTAGCTTATTTTTCCGAGCTTTCATTTTCCACATTTTTAGCTCTTTCACCAGGGCTAGATAGTATAGTTGCTATCAGATGAGTTAATTTTTATTATTATTTTTTTTTATAATGAAGATGCCCTATTTATAATTTCAAAAGAAAAATCTTGCTGATTCATATTAATTTCTTCTTTAAGCTAACAGAGGTATGACAAACAAATCTGGTAAAATTATATGTTCATCACCTTGAGACTGAAAACCCTTTCTTGGGAGTTTGCAGCAAATTCTTACTGTATTTTTTGTTCTTGTTCCTCCTACCCCTCATCAAAACAATATTCAGTGTCAAACTGTGCCTAAGGGACTTAATATTGACTTTTAATATACTGGCTAAGAGTCATCTTTCATTTTCATTTTATCTTACATTTAATTTTCTCATTTTCATGCATCATACAGAATTTATAACAGACCAGGTTACTCTTGTTGCTTATTAATGCCTGACACATCTTCCCTTTTAAAGTACATTTTAGCTACTAACATAATTGGCAAAATCTGCTTTATTTTCTTGTAGGGTGTCAGCCTCAGGTTGATTTCTTTAAAAGAAAATGCCAGCTAATGCAGCTCAGCTATCTGGGAGAGTGAGGCTAAGAGAAAAATGCCTTATTTTGACAGGTTCTGGCAACTTTTTCTTTGAGAAACCCCTGGATCCCAAGAGAAGAACCATGAAACTTAGTAAGCCACAATATTGATATGAAGGATGTGTATTTTGCTGATTCTAAGACAAATCCTCTCAAATCTGGAAAATTTATAGATCTCTTCAAAATTGTTGTTTGCATAGGCCTAGCAGAGTCTTCTTAGGTTTCTTCTTACATAAGGGGCCAAAGTATTCTCACTACCCAGCAGCTCAGCTGAACTTTTTGTGTGCTGCCTAGTTCTGGGTTCAAAACAGCAAACAAAACAACAAAACAGCCAACAGCCCAGCAGTCACAACTCTCGTTGTGAATGCACGTAATAACACATTTTTTTATTTTTTATTTTTAATTTTTTTTTTTTGTCTTCTCTTCAAAAACCAATTTAGTGCTTTAAGAGGTCTGCTCTGGGGAACAATCAGAATTTTGCATTTGAACAAGCTGTCTGTTGTCATTTTTTCAAAGGAAATGAAAGAATTTTGTAACAAAAGGGACTACATGAAGCATGATTGAACCTATAGTTTGCTGCAGGGGTATCTTAAGATTTAGGTTACCAGCCACTCAAACTGCATGTCAAAAACCAGCAGCTATTTATTTGCCTTACTGTATCTGTACCTCAGCTTTCCATCTGTAAAATGAACACAAGAAATGCATAAATGGGTTTGAAAACAGAGTCTCTAATAATTCTGGATACTCAGACTCTACACTAAAAAGCAGCTTAAAAAAGCCCCTTTGTCTTTAGATTAACATTCTAACAGTGTAAGATAAATAAAATAAGGGACTGCACATGTGGAATAACAAGGAATATGCAAAATACTTAATAACTGCTTTAAAACAGAACATCCTCCATCTACACATTATATAAAATAAGGACTCAAGAGGCTGGGCGAGCCTGGCAAAACTGTTGACCAAACTACAATTGCCTGAAAATGCATGTGCAAAAGAAACGTATATTAAGGTTACACAAGTAACACTTTTGTTTCTTCTGAGCGCTTTTACAACCTCATTAAGTTCATTTTACACAGCATGAATAACATTCAGCTTTATCAGCTTCATGATTTTGATAATTATTCCATCTCTTCAATCATATACAGGGCTGAATTCGAACAGGGAATCTGGACTGCAGTAGGAATGCTCCTTCACCTTGGGAGCTAGAAAAACTGTGTCAACCTTGTGGTAGGCACCAAGGGGTGGAATCCTTCCTCTCCCTGATAGATTTACTGCCACTGTGTTACACTCTTCATCCAGAAAGATACCTCATGCTCCTTGAGTTTTCCCAGTCACTTTGCAGTAACAATACTAATATTCTTTCAGCTCAGAGGATGTGTGGGGTTTTTTTTGATGCACTAGGTATGTCTGTGAGATATTTGCACTACATAAAACTCATCCTCTAATTCTAGCCTGCATCTTTCAAATCTGAACAGTTGTTGCCCATTTTGAAGCAAGAAATAATATTTCTGCTGGAGAAAGCAATCCCTTCCACGTTCTTTCTAATTGCTGAAGATGGCTATGAACATTGTACAGATACC